GTCACTTTTAATATGGACCATACCATCTTCGGGCAGCCTATATAAAGGGCATGGGAGAAGGAAGCTTCTCTCCCTTTGCCTGCTTGCTCTAACTCTTGATAGCAAATCTAATCCTTCACTGGCATTGGAGCCTATTTCTTTGGCATTTTGGCATATACTGAGACATCCAGCCTCATGGACTGAACAACTAACTACTGCACTCTTGAACTTTCCATTCATAGGTAGCCATTGTTGGTTTACCTTTAAACCATTCTAATAATCCCTTTTATGTAGACACATTCTAATTTTGGTTCCTCAAGAAAAGCCTGACTAATACACTGATCATATTAAGTTGGGGCACTGTTAGAGAAGAATAGAGTTGAAGAGAACAATGGAAAGAGTAAAACACAAAGCCAAGCAACCTAGCTAATCAGGGTCCTGACAAGAACCAGATAAAACAATAAGGTGGAATGATTTGGAGGACTTTGTCTTAGTTGCTTTCCTAGTGCCATGACAAAGCATGATTGCCAAGGCAACTTATAAAAGAAAGCCTTTAATTTTGGGATCATGGTTCCAAAGGGTCAGAGTCCATGAGCATCATGGCAGAGAGCATGGTAGCAGGCAGACAGGCAAGACACTGAAGCAGAGGTTGAGAGCTTACATCTGTTCCACAAGCACAAAGCAGACAATCTAACTGTTCCAGAATTCCATGGGCTTTTGAAAGCCCACTCCACAGTGACAAACTCCAACAAGGCCATACCTCCCAATCATTCTAAAAGAGTCTCACCAACTGGGCACCAAGCATTCAAAGGCATAAGGCTGGGGGGGGGGCATTCTCATTCAAACATTACAAACTCCATGAAGAAACAACTACAACTACAAAATCCCAGACAGACAGCAGAGCAGGAAAAAAGATTTGCATGCTATTTCACCTGAGTTTGACAGCAAAAACAATGCCAAACATCTTCTACTGCAAAATTGAGTAATAACCAGAACGTGGAAAGAGACAGACATGTAGAGATAGTCAACAAGAAAAGGGAGATTTCTCAGGGTCCTACCCAGGCTGTCTGAAGGGACTGGGGCTGTCTAAAGGGAGTGGGGCAGAAGGAATACCCCAGTAAGAAACTAGAGAGAGGTGGCCTGTCATGGTTTCTGCCTAGGAGGACATAGCATGATGGAAAGTGCACAGAGTGGAACTAGAGAAATAGAGTAATTAATGCACACTCCTCTGCCTTTCAAGCTGCTTATGGTTTCTGCCTAGGAGGACATAGCATGATGGAAAGTGCACAGAGTGGAATTAGAGAAATAGAGTATTTAATGCACACTCCTCTGCTTTTCAAGCTGCTTTTTAACTTTAGGCAAGTAAGCTTCAGGTTGCTCACTATAAAACAATTGTACCAATAATACCAGGTTTGCTAGAAACATAAAGGGGGATTGTCTGAATAATGTCTGGAGATCCCTTCACACCTGGGAGATAACAATTAATGTTCTCTTATCCTGCCCCTAGATGATGACAAATAATTCACTTGCGGATACTTTACAGGTTCCCCAGAATTGGCATATTTCTTAGAGTGCTCCACAGACCATGTGCTTGAGAAGTACCTGGGGGGTGGGGGGTGGGTTCTTGTCAACAGAGCGTCCCTAGCCCTGAACCCCAGTCTAATTCTTGTGCAGAAAGATGTGAATCTTCATTTCAGACAAGTTCCCCCCAGTGATTTTCACACACAATAAAGTGTGGGAAGCACCATTCTAGAAGTCCATATTTCTAATTGATGCCCACTAGGGTAAAGCATAGGCAAGATTTATCTGTGCTTGAAATCATTAGGTGCAGTTACAGCCCATCAGCTCCATGAAGAGGGACCAGGACACTAAGAGCCTGTCTTGTAATGTTAGGTCACACTGGTTCTCCATTTTACTTACTTTATTAATACCCAAGGAACAATGTTCCCAGGCTTTTAATTAAAAATTCTCTAACTTCCAGACTTTAATCATTTTCTAGGTTGGATATCAGTTTGAATTTGCCACTCTTCCCTTTCAGAAAAAAAAAAAACTTAATTGACAAAGCAGACACTGTTAAAAGAGAGAGAGCTTTTTGAAAGCATTGTAGAGGAGAATAGGTCAGTTGTATTTATAAACAGGAGGAGACCAAAATTTAGGATGGAATCCAAAAATGGACTATCCCTCTTTAATTAAAGAAAGGTACAAAAAGACTCATCAGTAGTTGGAAACTGAACAGAGTTCATTTGGATCCTGAAAGGGTTAGGATTTGTTTTTGCATTGACTGCAATAAATACCCTCAACATAGTTAACAGTTTAGGTAAAAGAAAGTATAACTTGCTGTTTACGTACAACTGCAGATGTAGGCAGAGTAAAGGCGGAGTTACAGTTGAGCCCTGTAGGGTTCTCAAAGACTGTGACTCCTGCCTCATTTGGTCCAGCCCACCATGAAATATGGACCTGGTTTTCGTGTTCCAGCATGGAACTACAGAGAACCTACAGAGCTGCTGACTTTTGAAGAAGGATTGGCATATTTCATTTTATCACTTTAGGTGGAACTTATTCACATGGCTACTCCATACTCTAAGAGGTTGAGCTACAGAATTTCAGAGAATTATCCTGTTGGAATGGTAATATGTTCCAGTCAACTGGATGTTGTGGCCCACTTGCTATGTGCTAAGACATTTTCATGTTTTCTGTTTCTAGTAGGACAGTTGCCAGAACACTGATTCCATTCCCAATACTTTTAAAAGAAGAAATGTAATACAGAAAATTGTCATAAAAGCATTAAATATCCAGACCTCAAAAATGGGATAACCCAGAGTTTACCAGCAATAGTAAGCTTGTACCGTCTTTGGAGCTGGAGGAGGGGGGTACTGGGCAGAGTCTAGGAGCACCAGCTGCCCAGCAGAACTCAGATAACACTGGTGCTTTTCCAGTGGATCCAGTGTCTCATACTGGCTAAAGCCATCTGAGAGTCTGTGTGCTAGGGAGCTTGGAAATTCAGTTACAAACAGAATTGGTAAGGAAAAATAAAATATTCATGTAAAATCAAAGAGGAAGGAAAGCAAGCCAAGGTTGGGGACCTGGATAGGTTGCTATTTAAGAATTGTTGTACCAGAATTCTGAAACCCCTAATCACCAAGAGACCCATTCTGATGCAAAAGCAAAGAATCTTTTATTGTTTAATGAGTTAACTGTCTTAACTTAGTCCGTTTATCATGGTGGGTGGAGTGAGAAGGACCTAAAGGGGCCTTGAGGTAGGGAATTTATTAGGACGAGCAAGGGGAGTGTCTAGGGGTATGCAACAGTCTCAGAAATGGTGTGCTTCTGGGCTTGGGTGACCTGTCCTATGTTGATTGGTCAACTGGTTGTTATAGCCTATAGGCCCTCCCAGGATGGTTGCTATGCTCTGCACATAGCTGTTACACCACTTTTACTGTAAAGCATGTCCAGAGCCCACCAGATAACTTCTGATTGGTTCCTTGCCTTGTGGACGTTATCTGACTTCCTAGTGACTGGGAGGACAATGTGTAAAGTCAGGAAGCTCAGCACATTTTGTTGAGTCAGAGGCCTACATCTTGCTGGGTGTTTTCTGTCATGGCTGCCAAAGCAGCTGGATGGGGGTTTGATCCATTCAGAATGTACTGGACATTACTCTAGATAAATACAATCTGAAATGCCAAAGAGGTCACCTGTCCAGAAATCAATCACTGAGAAGGATGAGTGTATCATTATTCACAATAGCTAAAAGCGGGAAACAACCCAAAAGTCAAAAAATACAAATAGATAATATATGGTACTAGGGTATAGTGAAAAATTATTTTCCATAAAAGGAGGTGAAATTTGAATACATATTTTAATGTCAGTAAATGTTGAAAGATTGTGCTAAGTGAAATAAGCCCAACAGCGACCAGCAAATATTGTGTGATTGTAGTCACAGGAAGTTCCTTGAATGGGCATATTCATGATAAAACAGGAGGTAGAGGGAAAGTCACAGGAAGATGTGGAGAGTCATTGGACACAGACTTTCTTTTGGGGATGATGAGAAGATTCTGGAAAGAGACAGCAGTGGTGGTTCAATGTGTGAGTGTACTTAATGTCGCTAAACTGTACATTTCAGAAGGTTGGAGTAGTACATTTTAAAAATGGAATGATTTTAGAGGTTAATCTTAAAATTAAAGAGGTTCTTATGCCTTTAAAATGTTTGTACTGATTGAAAAACTCTTCATGAAGGAGGTGAATGCTAGGAAAGAAGCAACTGAAGCTGATTAATGGACAAAACATTGGGGTCGAGGACCATGAAGACTTAAAAAACAAAGCAAACTCAGAGTTGTTGTTGCAAAGATTCCATATGCTTTCTAAAGAAAGAAACACTACCTCCTGGACAGATGAGAATGCTTAGCAGCTAAAAGCATTTGTTGTACAAATCTGATGGCCAAGGGAAAAATCTGCCTCCTGAAAATTGCCCTTTGACCTTCTCTCAGGCACCCTGGCACACATGCCTGCATGCACACCACACACACCAATGATAAATAAAATTCAAATTAAAAAAGAAACCCCTTTTCTAAGACTAGGCTTGATATGACCATATAGCATAATCTTAAATTAGAATAAAAAGGCAAAAGCAAAATCAGAAAACTAGGTGAATTTAATAGAATTTAATAGAGGGAGTATCTAAAGAACTGGAGATAATCTCACAGAATAACAGGAAAAAGAGATGTACACCCAGAGGGAACACAAAGGATGCTCTGAAGAGCAAAGATAACCAGGAAGAATACTGATGTCTGGGTACCATGTCCTCAGAAAGTAAAGGGGAGTCAGGTTTCTCCTGTGTGTCAATGTCAGCCATGGATGCTATAAGCATGAGCACTGGAAGGTGCTTGTTGGTTTTTATATCCAATGATGGCAGAAGGTCATTGGCTGCTTAGGGAAGACCATTTCTGTGGTCGTGAGAGGAATTTATGCCAGAACACAGTGAACACACCATCTTTTCTGCCTTTCTCCATTTGCTTGCTCAACAGAAGCAGTAAACAAACCTGTTCCCAGAACTACACTGACAACATTGATGATGGCAGCACACAAATTAAGAGGTAAACAAAAAAAAAAGTCATGTTAATTTCAAGCTCCATTAGAAACACAGGCAGAGAAAAAGACCAACATCTGCCAGATAGAAAAGGTCAAAATTAGAAGGGAAAATAACTTTGTTGCTGAGAACCCAAGAAGGTCTTGCCGGGAGCGAAGACCTGAGACTATTTTGTTTCTTCTTTTAGTTTTGTCAATAATGGGATTCTAAAACAAGCCCTCTTGTTCATGCCTCCTCTCATCAGAAATGTGAGGAGGTGGACTATGGCTGCATACTTTCCCTAGGAAAAGAGACCACGCTGTATTTGGGGATATGTACAGGTCCCTCCTCCCAAGCAGTCTTCTATTCTTTTGCCTATAATGACTTTTCTTGTCTTTTAAAATCCCTAGTCGTGTTTATGGCTTTGGCCGGATGTATAAGTCCACTCTTTTGAAGATTCCATAATGTCCATAATCTCTAACATGAGAATGGTATAACATATCAGAGAGGCTTCGACTCTTTCATCCCTTTGAAGACTGTGTTGTATACCCCAGATCAAATCCAGGAAAGGCACACATGTCCTTTCCTGACTTGCCTATGTTGATGGGGACAGTACACAAATGAAAACAGATACTCCTAATAAGTTCTTTTTAATGTCATGGCAGTGTGCATTCTGAGTCTTTGATGATGGATGGGTCTTCATTTGTAAATGTAAAGCCATGTGTGTTAACTTAGTTTCCTTCCAGGCATTTTGTATTAGTGAGTATGCCATATGACTTCATAGTGTTCCCTAAACCAGTTTCTTGCTGTACTTTGATTTAGTAAATGCAGAAAGAAAATTCATAGAAAATTTCCATCATAATTTTTTCGTTATGGTCAGAGCTCTATGCACGTGAAGTGTTGGCCTTGGTGATTTCTCTGGACTCTATAGGTTTATGGTATCTTTTCTCTAGATGTATTAAGTTTGAAGAGTCTGTCACTAAATACAATCTGATCTGCCTTCACTTTCCTAAAAACTAAGCAGATTTTTTTCAAACATTTGTACTTCAAGAACAATAGATTTCCTTTTGAGCATGGAAATACAGTCATTGCTAAATTACATGACTGGACTGAACTCCAGGCATTAGTAAGTAAGTACAAAGTAAGAAATCGTAGGAGACTCTTTTCTTCGAAGTAGAACAAGGCTTGTGGCCTGGGTTTAATTAAGTACTGCTCATGGCACCATAGAGGCTGGCATTTAATTATATTCAGTTCATTCCTGTATTGTATATCATCTTTTAATTTCTCTAAATGCTTAGCGCACTCTATTCTTGTGGGCTCCAGCTCTGCGGCAAGTTCTGTGAGAACAACTAGCGTCACACAGTAGACACTCACTAAGCTTAGTATAAATGAGCTCAGGAGCAAAGAAATCAATGTTAGCTTTTAGAATGGGATGCTGGGGTTCACATAGCAAGATGGCACCTCAGAAACTGACCAGAAATGAACAAAGACAAGAGTTATCAGGCCTCCCTGGAAGGTGTCCACATTTACTCCTGGCTTCCATGGATAAGGCACAGGTTCAAATTTTCTCTCTGATACTTTCTTTTTTTCTTTAAATCTACACAGAGTTGGGGGGGGTGTGGGTACCACTGAAATACATGATATTATAAAATATGAACAGTTTTTACCAAATCCCAGCATTGGTGCATTTCCATGCTAATTTATTCTTATCCTTGGCCTGTACTTCTTAAATTTCTCAGTTACCACTGTCACTTTCCAGGTGTCTTCTTGGCACCAGCCTATGCTAACGTGATCGAAATGAGCTATTCCTGGGTAGTCTGCCTGCAGAATGTCTCTCTGAGAACAGCATCTGGAATGGGTGACAATGCTGGTATCTGCTCCAGTAGAAAACGCCAAAGGGGAGAGCATTGACTTTCTGTTCTGGGTCTTGTACGGGTCATTCTGTCCAGGAGCCTGCGTGATTTCAAAACCATCTAAAAAATGAAGCACATTCATCATGACAGAAGTCATTTGGCCAGGTCTCACTTAACTCATGAATTGTTAAAGCGGTGCGTTAATGAAGATGCTCCCTAAAAATATATGCACTGTCTCTCTGAGGCAACTTTTAATGAGTCCAGGACAAGTTTCTTTCCACTTGTAGGACTCATGATTAATACTGGCCAGGGATTCACCCAGTGACCCACCTAATGAGCCTATGATGGCTAAACTGTTTCGTGTCTGTAGCTTTTAGCCTTGAAGGACCTACCTTCCTCCCATGAGCATTTTAATCAGAAAGAAAGTATTTGGGCCAGTCAGTGGGTCAAGAGGACCACTTCCATCATCATGGCTTTCCACATTTCACGTTTTCACCGTTGACTGTGTTGACAGATTCAGCATTCTGCATGTTACCAGGCCGCTGCACTGGCACTGTGCTAATTGTTCTTATCTGGTAGCCCCTACAATGTTTCCAAAGGTTCTCTTTTCCTCCAAGGTCTAAATGTTTTTGTTTTCAGCTCCTATTCTCCTGTGAGTCCATTGAATCCTGCTTGCAATTTGTCATTAGCATTTCTACTGTGGTTTGCTTGCTTTGGCAAATGACAAAATAATATTGTTAGACATCTGTAACCCCTTTTACCTTTAAGTAAAGAAACTCCTACCAATGCGTAAAATTGCTAAAGGTCATAAATGGCCGCGTGGACTTCTTGTAAGCACTTTTGTATTGTATAAAGTTCAAAGTCGTTAAGATGTGTCATCCATTGTGCATGACAGAAGTTGCAGCTTTACCTTCAGAGTCAGTATATAGAATATCAGAAGCATACAGCTTTTGAATCCCCTCCCACAGGAAATATATGACAGTTACAAATTAAGAAATGATTGTAAAATGACAGATATGAGCATCCCCCATCCCACTGGCTCTGCAACTCTCCCATTCATCAGAAAGTCCAGAAGGGCTCTTTGGGCCATGGATTGCTGAGCTCCTGATGCAGTAGGCAGGTCTATGGAGGAGCTTGTAAAGTTTTACTTTGAGCAAGATTGGTTCCAGTGCTCTTGATCTTGAACATATCCTTAAAATCACTATAACCTGGGCCGGTGGGGTGGCCCAGTGAGTAGAGCTGCTCCCTGCCAGTTCTCACAGTCTCCATGGATAGAACAACCACACTGCTTTGTTATTATTTCTTACTGTTTTTACTTTTCTATTCTTGAGAACTTCATACATGCATACAATGAAATGTGATCATATTTACTTCCCATTTTTTCCCTTTAGACTTCTCCCAACGTGTACGCTTCTAATTTTTTGTTGTGGGTGTTTGTTTGTTTGTTTTCCTGATGACCCACAAACTCTAGTTAGTGTTTATCTTTTTTTTTTTTTACTCTGACCACCTGCTCTCTCTAGATGGATGTTTAGATATGCATAGTCCCCTTTCTGCCTCTCACCAAGTGACTTCCCTGGATGGAGACTTAGCATCTTCCAGGCTCTAGTACCCCATTTACTTGTCAGGTCTTTCCAGACCTCTGTATACAGTGTGTCCTATGAGCAAATCTTCTTTTATGCAAATTCTGTGTCATTGTCACCAGTGATGTCTCCCCCAGAAAGGGCTAAATGAAAAGCAATGACAATCATTGCAGAAAAAGGGGCAGAGAGAGTGTAAGAGCCAGAGGCAATGGAAGGTTACAATTAAATGGTGTCTTTTAAATACAGCAAAGTAGCAGCATGTATATACTCACAGGGTTTGGGACACCATGCACAAGATGTGTGTAAACCTAAAACTAGGACAAATCCCAACATGGAGAAAGCACTTGGACATGAGCTTCTATCCCTAGCTCGGGAGTTATTGATAATTATCAATCACTGAGAAAGAAGAGTCGGTTTTCTTTAAAAATAGGTTGTTCGTGCATTACCAGAAATGTATCCAAGAATATGTGAGCACCATCAACTGACCTTAATGGGGAAGGGAGGGGGGAGTATTGACGTTGGATAGGAAAGCTAATTCTTAGAATTTCTAGTGTGAAGGCAGGTTAAAGGAAGTCCACAAATGCCTGAATAAAGAATAACATATTTATTTGGGAAGCACTCACACAATGAAGGTAAATAACCACCACAGTCTTCTGCTCCTGGAGGTGCAGGGTCTGTGATGCAGGATGCTCAGACCACAACCCATGAGAGAGCCCTAGCGTGGCACCTCCTCTTCCTTATAAGAGATCTGCTCCTCACATGGAAGCCAGACCCTTCTGCCATTACCTCAAGTCTATTTGGTGGAACAAGATGCCACTACACTGATGTTATGAAAGCAATTTGGAGAGGAAAGGGTTTAGATCATGTCCACTTAAAAATCACAGTCTGTCATTGAAGGAAGTTAGGACAAGAACTCAAACAAAGCAGAATCAGGAGCTGGATGACTCCAAGGCCATGAGAGAGGACTACTTACTGACTTGCTCCTCATGGCTTGCTAACCTGCTTTCTTACAGTACCCAGGACCTGTAGGCCAGGCGTAGCACTGCCTGCAATGAGCTGAACCATCCCACATCAATCTCCAGTAGATAAAATGCAATCCAGACTCTCCCACAAGCCAATCTGGTGGGAGCATTTTCTCATTAAAGTTCTTCCTTCAGACATGACTCTAGTCTGTGTCAGGTTGACATAAAATTAGTCAGCACAGAGGACAAGCAAGGGAGATCTCTGAAAATTTAGGGGAGGGAAATAAACAGGATCAAAATAGATTGTATGAAATTGTCAAAGACCCTATAAAAATAAAATAAACTTTCAAAAAAGATAATGATATTTTCCAAATTCCGTAGCTAAAATATGCCCTTCTCTCAACATAACACCCCACATCAAACTCAATGATGACATAAAATCAACATATTACACATTAAACCTGTGTTCATGCTTCTGATCATAAGCAAACATGTTTATTAAAGAGAATTTTAAAGTCATAAAATCACACAAAGTAAACTTTGTTTTTAATAGCATCCACTATCTGAAAATAATCCCCATCTGTATTCTCTTAAATACTTACATAATTGTTTGTTTATTTATTCATTATCATT